CCTTATACAGTTTGTAGAATCCATCACCTCAACAGAGCAGACTGAATTACTTCGATGACTGGCAAATGGGCACCACTTGTGGTGAAATGAAAGCAGTCAGGTGTGTGTTTATTAAGTGCTCTTCAATAGGAGAAATGTGTTTTCCTGAAAACTCTCATCCATGCTATTTTTGTAGAAGCAAAAAAACTGCCCATCTTCCTTTGAGAAAACGGAAGTATTATTTCTCTTGAGAATCTGTACTATTACAATAGAAATTCACAATCATAAATGTGTTATAAAAATCAGGCTTTTCTTCAGTGTATGCATGAACAGTGGAAGCTCACAATAACAACTGGCAGGGACGCAGCCAGTACTCTTGGTGCAGTGTGCCTTTGGCTTTCCAGTACTGCCCAATTCAAGTGGATCATTTAAAAAAGTTAAGTCAGTTCATTAATTTGATGACCAGTGGTTCTACATATAAGGGTTTTCATAAAAATAAATTCACAAGTCAGAAAATATCTTTTTGTCAGACCATGTTTTCTAAGATTTAGGTCAGAAAATGTGATCATTCTAATGCATACCATGTTGATTATTTATATTATATCAGATCTTTATTAGAAATACTGGCTGGTTAGTTGTTAAGGTCTGGCATTATTTGTCTAGATCTAGCATATGAGTAAGATCAGCAGTAATAGCTTAGTATTTATTGAATGCTTACTATGTGCAGGTACTGTGCTAGAAGCTGGGGATATGAGACTCCCACCAACCTCCCCCAAAAAAGACACAGTCTCATGTTGCTGACAACAACTCTGTGAAGTAGATACAGACAAAAGAATAAGTTTATAGAATTTAAGTAATTTATCCAAGATAGGTCAGCTATAAAGTGACAGAGCCGGAATTATGGTGCTGTATTTGTTAAAGCAACCTAACCTATATTCTGGTTAAGAGATACTAAAGTATAGTGGCTTAAGAAAGAAGGAGCTCCTTGACACAACAAAGCTGCTGTAGCAGTTCTGGTTTCTTATGTTTAGATTGTTGGTTCAGGGAGATGTAAACTTCTGTCTGATACCTCTGTTATCCCTGGATTTTGGCCTCATTAATATGTCTGAAGATGCATAAGCGTTCTCTTTAAGGGCACTCCCTGGAGATTGTACTTCTGACTTTTTTTTTTTTTTTAACTGCAACAGTTTATTTTTCCTTACACAATAGCATGTTGCTGTGGCCTGATGTTCTCACGTAACAATAGAATAACAATAGAAAACCAAAATTTGTCGTCATTGCTTAAATAATTGAGAATTGTGTGCAAAAGAAATCTTGTATAAATTAAAAGGATGAATAAATTTTTACAAGTGTACATGCAAACTGCTTCCAACTCAAAGCAAGTTATAGCCCATGGTATTCTGGCAGGAAAACACCAGGTAGAAAGGAAACTGGGTCCTAAGGCTTGGACTTCTCTAACCCGGATATACTGGTGAGACAGAAATGACAGCTGCTTCCCTTGCCAGCCTCTAGAGAAATCCTGGAACACTCAGCCCTGACACATTAATAACCTGCACAGACTGGAGACTGCTGGCCATGCACACTCACCAAACCACAGACTTATCTTCTACAAGCATGTTCTCACCTCAGTTACAGAAGTGACTGAGTGACATGTATTAGTATTAAGAGTTTAAATCACAGGTATTCCTGGTTCTACTCACATCCCATCAGTCATACCTAGCTACAAGGAGGGCCTGAAAATACAGTTTTTTGTGGCCATTCATCCCTTAAAATTCAAGGATTCTATCAATAAAAAGAAGTAGATAGTGGGTATTAGGAGACAGTTGTCATTCTGAGTCACAAAACATTGTTTCAAAGTGGATTTTTCCCCACAGACTTGTCCAAGTGATGAAAGACCTTAACACTTTGGGGTATGCCTAAATCCATTATCCAATTCTTTTCAAGTAAGGTTATGTGTATATGTATGCAGTGTGGTGTATTTAAATATTCAAAATATATGGTGCATCATGAATATTAAATGATTCTACAGTGGACTGTGGTCATCTGTAAGAGCCTGTGAAACATTTTATGGTAGAAGTCTACTGGCTTTAATTGTTGGCAGGAAGGCTTACAAAACCCCCAGGATTTGTCTTGCTTGCATCCTAACTCTCATAAAGATCTTGGACTGAGAGGTCTATGTTGTAAGAAGTGTGTTCTTAGAGAAATGCCTCTAAGGTTTTATAAAAATAAAATTAAGGTTTTGAATGAAGGATGTACTCAATGCATGAATTATAAATAACACTGACCCAGAACTTCAAGTTTTCTCAGAATTCTTGGTATATTCTGATGTAATTTAGACGTTTACTATAGAAAAATCAGTACATTTTCATTGAGAAGATATTTAGATACTAATTGCATTCAGATCCTTGCCTACGTGTTTCTTACGGCCACAGGGACTTGGAGGAGATGAGCACAGGCTATACCTCAAGCGTTTAATATATACACATATGTTCTTAGGCTACCTGGGCCCCGGCCCTCCTACTCCAAACCTAAAGCAGTCTCTGTTGAGCTCAGCTCAGAGGCAGTTTCAGTCCAGTTTTATCACACTGGCCATGTGGAAGTAGAAAGAAGCAATCCAAAGAGAGTGAGAACCTTAAAGAGATGAACCCCAAAAAGGCGAGAGCCCACAGAGGTTAAAAGCTTTAACATTTTCTCCTAGTACACCAAAAGCTTCTCCCACTTAGCTACTCAGGAGGCTGGGGCAGGAGAATTGCTTGAGCCGGAGAGGCGGAGGTTGCAGTGAGCCAAGATTGCAACACTGCACTCCAGCCTGGGAGACAGAGTGAGACTCCATTTCAAACAAAACAAAACAAAACAAAACAAAACAAAAAAAAAGAAAAAGTTTAACTGAGTTGGGTAACTTGATTCAGTCATTTTGTGTCTTTTCCTCCTTGGGGATGGGATTGGGTAGAGGTAAGGAGAAGATGGGTGGAACTTTCCTCTCCTTCTCCTTCTAGAGATCAGCACCAGGCACTTTGGAGAAAGCATAATAAGTACAAGACATGACCTTTATCCCAGTTCTCAAAGGACTAGCACAGTCTTTTGGGGAAGGTAATGAATACCAAACATTTAGTTAAAATCAAGTGCTAAACTGTATGATATTGATTATTCTGAAGGAATCCAGATAAGGGATAAATTCATGTGGATTTGTTTCTTGGGGAAGACTTTTTAGATTGTGTCACAAGTGTCAGGTCAAGGGATGAAAAGGAGCTAATTAAGAAGGCAGAAAAGAGAATGTGAACAAAGATTCAGAACGAGCTTAGAGGTTAGTAGACCTGTGTGCTTGAAACAGAGACTTCATGTTGGAGACTAGCAAGTAAAGTGAAATAAGAAACTGGAAGATGTCAAAGATCAGGCAGGGGTTAGGCTATAGGAGAGGCCATTAATAATGGAATGTGGTAAGAATAAATTAATAACTGACTGAATGATCATGTGTATAGTGCTATAATTTGTCTAGGCTGGGCAGAGGAGGTTCCTATGAAGGGTCTCAGTGGCATAGGTTTCCAGGAAACAGGAGGAAGCCAAGATTAGGTGTATTAGGGACTGGGAACCTCGTTTCACTAGGGTGAGGCAGCCGCCCAATCCTTAGTGACCAAGTGGATGTGATGATCTTGGGATTGGTTCAGGGAAGGTGTTGGTACCTGAGGAGACTTAATTTAGCAGGAGGTTTGGGCCACTAGAATTGTAGATGTCAGGTGAGATTTTGAGTCAGGAGGGGTGGTATCATGGAAGGAGGCAGTCTATTCACAGCTGGATCCCAGCCTGCAGCTGGGGGCCTGGAATGGAATCTAGGGAAGAGTTTTATAAAAGCCCTAGTCAAGTAGATTTTATGTTCAGGGCAAGGCATAAGGCATTGTAGGAAACAGAAAATCCAGTCAGGTCAGACGCTAGCTGTGAGGATTGAGCCAACATGTTTGGAGCTAGGAAAACAGGGAGAAATGAAGAAGGAGTGTAAAGTTGGTGCAACTGAATGCATTTGTGGTCAACTATAGAATTCCAGTCTCACCATCTGCTGGGCTGAAGTTACTTCCCTATGGCCTACTGTGATGAGGATGGGTTGAAGGTTACAGAAGTGCTGGCCTTTCAAGTGTAGATGTCAGGGGCCAAAGCTCAGAGGGAGCCCAGAATGAATAACTGCGGTGGAGGCCCAGAGGAGGTAGCATCATTTGGAAGGAGTTGAGACCATACCAGAGGTGGTGTAGGCCTAGCTAGGAGGCCATCTGATTCCAGGCTGAGGAGAAGAGGCCTTAGCAAGGAGGGGTCGTAGAGGCAGCGTCTGCAGTAAGACAATTCAAAGAGAAAGCAGCCCCTGAGCATGTGAATGAGTCGAAATATTTCTTGTAAAGATGTCTCTCTTTTCTGGTCCATGATGATGTAACTAATACACAAGGTATGACTGGATTCTTCCATAGTGTTCTCATGGGGCCCTTGTTACCTAGCTGATGTTTGAAGTGTTCATGTATGCCTCTGTCTTTGACCCACCTGGCTGGTTCAGAGCCTCTGCTGCAGAAAGTGTGCTTCTGCCTGGCTGATTGCTTCACAGCACACTTATCTATCTGCAGCTGTTGTTTCCCAGCCATCCATATGGTGTCACAGGATGGGACACAGGCAGGGACTTTACAATTCACAAAGGGGTAAGGCTTGGGACCTCGAATGGGGCTTTTCCTACTTATAAAGGCAAGGAATGAAAATGCAGAATCCTTACCTGTTAGGGAAACTTTCTTTTCCAAATCTGCAGGTATGTGATATTTCTGATTTCCTTAGGCTTGTATCTGTGCCTGAGGGTGAGATAGATTTCAAAATCATTATTTAAAGTAGGGAGGTAAAGCTTTAGACAGTATCACCACCCTAAGAGATCCTGGTTGTGTTTTTGAAATGTTGAGCTAAATAACATTTTAGTGATCAGTGAAAGGCTAACCTTTGTATTTTTGAAAAGTTCTCAGAAAGGCCTGGATTAATAATTGGTTTCAATTTTTCCACAGATACACTGCCTCTAGGACTTGGACAGATAGCCACTGAGAACCTGCTTCAAATCACCTTGCACATTTTCTTGTTGGAAAGATAACCACTGGAGAACCATCTCATTACCTTCAGCAAAAGCGGAAACAAATCAAGACATTTAGAATGCCACAGTGGACAGCAGTGGTTCAGCAGAGGAAGTTTACAAGACGGTGTGCCACACTAGCTAGAAATCAGAAAAGATCGAAGCTAGCCTTTTTATCTCAGCGGCTCCTTAAATCAGTGCAACCCCTCCAAATTAATGTGAATTAAAACATGCATTGCCTTTCAACTTAATTCAGTACTTTCTATGTGTGAACCACTGCACAAAATAGGGGAAGAAAATGAGGGCAACAAAGATGTGGAGCCTGTCTCCAGTGAATTTAGAGTTAGTTTCAGGGTACATTTTTTTTCCTTCTGCTGTTGATTAGGTCTATCCCTAAGACAAGAAATAAATGAATGGAAAAGTATATTCTGTGTTTTAAGTCTCTTTAATAAAAAACAAAACAAAACAAAACCCCAAAACTCCTAACATGGGCAACTCAAGACATTTTAATCCCTTTTCTTTTGTTGGACTTCTGCTAAGATCCATTTTATTGATTCCATAAATATTTAATAGACTTTAGATATATTAATACATTGTAGTTTGAGTTAATTTGCATTAAATTCTGTTTTCTCCTCTTAAGTATAGATTGTCTGTTGGAAAAATATATCGTTTGTGGATTTCTTGGCGAGTGGGGAGGTGAATTTTACCTGTTGTCTCTATAGTCCGCTACCTTCCATGCCCCCTAGGGCAGCGGTCTCCAACCTTCTTGGCACCAGGGACCAGTTTCCTGAAAGACAATTTTCCACTGATGGTGTGGCGGATGGTTTTGGGGTGAAACTGTTCCACTGCAGCTCATCAGGCATTAGTTAGGTTCTCGTAAGTGCGCAACCTAGATCCCTCACATGTGCAGTTCACAGCAGGGTTCGCACTGCTGTGAGAATCAAGGCTGCGACTGACCTGACAGGAGGCAGAGCTCAGGTGGCAATGCTTACTGGCCCATGTCTTGCTACGTGGCCTGGTTCCTAACAGGCCATGGACTCCCACAGACTGGTCCACAGTTTGAGGACCCCTGTCCCAGGAGCCTGCCATTCTGAGTGAGTTATTAGCATGAAGAAGAGGAAGATTTGGTCAAACGTGGGTGGTGGTACTCAGAGACCCAAGATAGGACAGGGATGGAACAAAACCCATCTGGGCAATGGCTCTATGAAAATTTGGCTAAGTAATTATTTCAGTATTCATTGTATTGGCCTTTGTGTTCCGTAAGTTAAATGACTGTCCAGGTTTTCCAAAACTCAAGTGTGTCATGATTTTCCCAGTGTAAAGACACTGATGTAACTGTAGACACGAGACATTTTATGTAGTGTCTGTGACACATTTTGGTATGTATGAGCCTACAATAGACACGTCTTTGTCTTGAGGAGTGTCCATCTGAATTGAAAATGTGTCAGCTTTTTTTTTTTAACATCATCAACAGACTTCTTAATTAAGCTGCCAATACATACTGCCAATAGCACTGTGTGCTGTCTGAGAAATGCATTGTGTAAGTGCTATTTCCATCTTATTAAATAAACAATGTTGCTCCGTATAAACTGGATTTAAAGTCTTCTTTGAATGAGGGATTATATTGCTCCATAAATAATGTGATGAGAATTCTCATATTATCCCTTTTAATTTAATTTCTAAAAAAATATTATTTGTTCCTCAGAAAAGAATAGCTGTAATTGGACTGGTAACTTTAATGATATGATTCATCCATAACAGGCTGAATTGCCTCATCCCCAAACTCATGGTAGCGATACTGGATATTTGTTATGCCACTTTGAGTTTGCATGAAGTATCTTCCAGGAAGTCTTAGTTATTAACTTGTGTTATAATAAACTGTATTTATTTCCTGTTCTGGAAGATTTCTTGGAGGGTCCATCTGTATATTCCTGGTGCCTAGCGTAGTCTTGCTAATGGAATAGTACCTTTATTGGTGCTATTTAGGGTTTGGTAGTTTATAATCAATCTACTTAGAATTAATCCAAATAAACTGGATATTTTTTAGTATATGTGCTGCCGAAGCGAGCACTAAACTGGATATTTTTATATAGTTTAGTCCCCTGGGCCTCTTATTTGGTATCTTGGATTTGCCAGTTCAGCCCTGTTATTTGTACCAACGTCCACTCTGCTGCCCTGGGCCCTGGCCCACTCTCTACGCATGGACAAGGCTTTTGGAGGGGCTGCTCCACTTCTCATGCACTGGCCCATCTGTCAATAGAATAGCAATCTCTCTATTCACAGCGTACCCATGGTGTGTCAGGCACGGAGCTACTTTACATATATTCCCTCAATTATCTCCTTTAAACCTCACAATAACAATTTGAAGTAGGCCCTGTGAGCTGTGGAGGTATGTATCTTGCTTCAGTTGTGGGACTCCAAATCCAGACCTCTTAGACCCAAAGCCTGAGCTAATCATCCCTACTCTGTGCCATATCCTAGGAGAGAGTACCATTGCCTGGTGTGTGTGTGTGTGTGTGTGTGCGCGCGCGTGTGTAGGGTAGACAAAATCTTTATGTAGTCCAGATTTACTGCGTTTAATATTCCTGAACAGCCAACTGTCTAATAGATAAAACCCAGCAAATCACAGTTGTTTTGAGAATGGAGGAAGGGCAGAGCAATTGGGAAAAAGCAAAGTTGGAAACAAACCAATTTGAGTCAAACCACCGGCCTTTACCTTAAACAGCTTTTTTTTTTTCAACTTACTTTTTTTAACATGGCCTGACACCATATGATAAATCAAAGCCTGACGTAATTGACCCAGAATTGATCCCCAAATGTCTTTTGGGGTAACATGCTTTAACTCTGGTTGTTGATTCTGAGGAATAATTGCCACCCTAGAAAGGTAATTACATATGCCATTGTTTATACACATAATAGGCTCAGAATGCATGTTCTGCACAGAGCGGGAGAGAATCCTACTTGCACATTTGGGGTGTGTGCTGTGTATTGTGCTGGGATGCCACAAATAGCATTTGAACTACTCCCTGTTACTGCTGATTTTTCTAGCGTGTGTATAAGTGTATAAGGGAGAGGTTAGGTCCAAGGTAGTTTGTGGGTCATGGAAGGCTGTTTTTTGAGCTGAATGGTAGTGATTTGCTTTTCCTTAATTTTCTTGTTTGCCAAAACATCTTTTGGATCTAATTCATTTAGCTTGGTCTGGTAAAAAGACTAGTTTCTCTGTGCTTGACATATGCTTATTAATGAGTTCTCGTATTTCTTTCCATCAAGGTCTGTTTACTTTGTGGAAATATGTAGTGAGAATCCTTCTCCACAACATCCTCCTAAATGACCATCCCTTTAAGTATTAATACACAAGTCAGTCAGGTAAGGTGGTAGCTAGTGCCTTTCCTCTGCTGTGCTTTCTGGTCAAACATAAATGGAATTTAAGCCACAAATGACCAATTAAAGCACTTCATGCCTTTTTCCTTTAGCCATAAGACAGTAGTTATCCTAAGTAAATACAGCAGACAGGCTATTCTGGGATAGTCTAATACAAGGAACTTACTTTTTTTTTCAAAATCAAAGCCTTAAGAAAACCAAAATGTCCTGAGTTTTTGTAGTGCTGCACAATGAAAGAAACATGTATGTATTCCAATATGGAACTGAGTATTGTCTGCAGCCGAAGCAATCCATCGTGGGCTATTCTCTGCCACAGTGTCCAGCAAATTGCATGACCTGCTCGTTAGGCTTGACAACAGTGTTTTACCTAACAAAGGCCTCTGCAGCACTGAGCAGCAGTGGAATGTCAGAATGAGCACATTTCACACACAGATGTGCAGCCATAATAGCCTATAAGAAGATGCATGTGGCAGGGGGCTGCGAGTGGGGGCAGGGTGAGGAGGGTGCTTGCAGTGGTGTAGTGTGTGAGTATGTAGGTTGGGGGCCAGAGGGAGGGGGAGGCCAACAGTTAGCAATAGGGACGGGGCCCCACTGACCACATTTAATCAGCTCTCTGTAAACAATTCCACATTTTCATTGTTCTCTAAAAACTAATAAAGAGAAACAAGCACTTTTCATTCATCTTGAAGTAATTTTCTGTCAGGTTGGAGCCCCTCGTGGCCTCCAGCTTGTGCAATGCTAGCTGTGTGATACAACAACTATTGCAATTTATTTTACAAACTCTGGTCATTCACATGTCAGTTAGTGTTCACCAAGCCGGCATCTGAAATTGTGCAGTTAACGAGTTTTACAACATTTCTATCAAGAGAAACTGTTTAGCATAACTGACTCTTAAGGAGTTATTATACCTCTAAAAATCCATTTTAAGGGGCATTATTTAAATAAAATAGAAAAACGGTTCACTGCCTTTTAAAGGGGCTACAAAAAAAGTCCATCAGCTCCAGAGCAGTAATCCTCAGCTTAAAGCACTCTTGAGAGTACTTCTGGGAATTGTCAGCATAATGAAATGTTTTGTGAAATGTCCAGATAGATTCCTCTACTCAACAATTTTACTGCACCATATTTATTTTCCTTCCAGTTTTTAAAGAAGTGAATTACTTTTGGAGAGGATGACTACATTGTGTAGATTAACTGAGCACATTATTATCAAGGTTGTAGCAGGAGCGATGGTTCTGTTTGTGGTGTCATCTATATGCATCTGCAGAGAGAGTGAAAGAAGAGAAAGGCAGATTTTCCCTGTTAGTGCTTTGGCTCCAAAACGGTTAAATCACAATGAGGCTAATAGAGTTTTACATTTTCTTTAGGCCACATTTTTCTCAGACTTTTCAACAACTTTGGCACACAATGGCACCTGTAAATACTTTCTTTAAACTTTACAAAATTGATGGTTTTCTTCCCCTAATGAATAAATGCAGGAAAACCTGTACACGTGTACATTGACACATGCATAATGATGCATATCATTTGAAACTGGTCCATTTCAATGAGAGATGCCATTGTACATTTTACTTAAGAATAGCTTCCTCACATTAACTGAGATGGCCAATGACCCCAAACCAATTAATGGCTAGAGTCCGTAATGGTAGCACTATATAGCATAGCAGCAAGTTCATTTAGCATATTATATTACCTAACAGGAGTAGAAGCCACCACATGCTTAATGGTTCTTTCTACAATGAGGACCAGGAGAAAATTTATGTTCTGCTGTAACAAGAGATATTCCTTATCTTTAGGAGATATATCTAAAACACTGCACATTTTCATTTTGCCACAAACAGTCCTCTAATTTCTCAGGCTGATGTTTGTGCACACGACTTTAATTTTCTGAGGGAGACGGGCAGGTGTTTCTTGTGCCTGTTAGCTGTATCTGCCCATAAGAAGCATAGTAACATCCATGAACTAAATAGAATTTGACATAATTCATGCCTTTATTACCACCTACAGAATGATATTATTTCATGCTGGCACATTAATGTTTCCAGC